CCACGTTCTGAAGCATGCTGATCGTCATAGCCAGCGCACACGAGGTGGCCAGCATCGTCGTGGCCTTGGCGGTTTGCTTCATGTTCATCATGTAGTAGAGTGCCGGAATGGTGACCACGCCGACGATGCCGGAAAGGAGCCAACCACCAAGGCTGAATGCAGTGCAATCTGCACAAACATCCGTATTCCACGCTTGGCCGGCCGGGCACTGGGTGCAGGGGATGCCTATACGCCCCCCGGCACATGTCCCGGGCAAGCCACCGGGACACGACTCGATAGGAAGACATCTGTAGACATCGAAGGGCGCGGCAGTGTCCGTGAAGAATCCATTCTGCACCACAGCAGTGCCAGCTCCGTTGCATGTCAAACCCTCGGAGCACGGAATGCATGCACCTGCCTCGTAGCGGGTGTTGCCAGTGCAGACAACACACTGTCCCTCGTACAACTCACCCTGGCATAGGCAAGCATCTGAATCGAGGGCACCCCTAGAGAAGGTAGTCAGCCCAGGCGGGCACTCGGCACAAGTTGCCAATCCTCTCTGTGCTGCATAGCGGCCAATCGGGCATTGCATGCATCCAGTGGATTCTGACTCGTTTGCAAAGAACCCCTGACTGCAATCCTCACATCCATCTGCCCCTAGCACATTGTTGAAACTCCCCGGGGCACAAGGATGGCATGCTGCCATGCCCGAGACATTGGTGAACGTGCCCACACCGCACGGCTCACACTCAAGCATCCCCGCTGATGCATACTTGCCCGCCTCACATGCGATACATCCAAGCTGCACCGAGAAGACGGTCCCTGCGGCGCACTGAGCAATTCGGTCCGATGGAACCCAAGCAGCACCCAATGCGCAAGTGCCGGTGCTGCATGGAACCCGCCGGGTGTCGTAGGGGCTCCAGACCACATCCGCCTGCCACCGTCGGGCTCTGTTAGTGATAACAGCATACGTTACAATCCAAACTCGGGTCTTTTGCATTATGGTTGGCCGTCTATGTCGCTTATGGG